CTGAACAAATACGACAGAATTATATACAGGATTTAAATAATTTCCAGGTCTATGTTTTTTCCTTACTGGAATCTAGACGCTATGCAGAATGGGAGTCATATAATAGCAATAAAATAATTAGATAGATAGCAGATGGGCCACAAACTAATCCAATCCAACATTCACATGCCGAGCTGCCCCCAGTCACTGATTTTAAAATGGGAATAAACTTTTTTTAAAAGACCTCAAATAATGTAAATTTCCGTCATTTCTTAGTACCATCAGTGTTCAAAATACTACAGGCTAACAGTTATTTTACAAAAGGAAACTTGATAGCCAGCACCACTATATTGTTCTAGACACTCATACAACTGGAGCTTGTTCAGAAAATCCTCAGCACCATGTTTTTCCACGAGAAAATGCAGACTCATCAAAATCAAAACATTCAGTAGGAACACAATGTTTTCAACAAAATTCCACCAAAACCCAGGCAAGAAGAAAATCTGTCTGGTTTCCTGCCAGTGAAGCCAAACACTTCCTCAGCAGGCCACTTGAATGCTCAGATGGAAATGGGAGGATTCTCAAGCCCTGGATCCCAGGGTTCCCATAGCTGTCAAAGCCTCTAGGTTTAGGGCAGCCCACAAGTCGGTCTGCTGAAGAGCTATGGTTATCAACGCTCCCAGAATACTCCGAGTTCCCTGGGACATGTCAACGAACTGGTTTACTGCTGGGTCAGCTTGCAATATTGTTTTTCTGTCTTACTGTAGAACAAAAACTAAAATGGTCACATTCTTGGTATTTTTTTTTAGAAGAGAAAAGCGTGTTCCCATTCTGATTCTCTAAACCTCACTTTAAATTATTCTGCGAACATTCATGAGTACCCACTTCTACCCCCATTATTCTAGTATCTTCTATATAGCAATGCTCTCAAGTGTAGCTTCTGCTTCCCATATGTTCCTTTATAACACTGAAGCATGCAAATCCTAAAAATAGAAAACCTTCCATCATTTTAGAAAAAAAATAACATTCTGCCAGGACCATGCACGTATCTTTATAAACGTAAAATCTGTGACATAAAACTAAGTAGAATGGTTTGAGAGATTTAATTGTGTAAGCCACACTTTTATATACTGCAAATTATGAAGAATTTCTGTGTTTTGTCAGGGGCTTAAACTATAGCACCATAGTCCATGTGAACTAGTAGAGGGATCCTGAGTGACCATAATGAAGAACTCAAAGCTAATTTGACATCTCCCTTTTTTCTGTGCGTTATATTTTCAGTGAGGAAAAAAGAATTAGAAAAAAATATGTCCAGAAGACATTACAGTATTTACCACATTAGGTCCAGAGGTAATCAAGAGGATTTTCTGATGAAAGTTAACATGTCCAGTTGCCAAATGAGGACTCTTCTATTTTAATAGAGATAAAAAAATCCCACCCTATCCTAAACCTTGTTCCACAGAACACCTGTTTAAATACAAATAACAATTCCAGACTTCTATTTTGTACGCTATCAAAACACTTGGGTTTCAAAATTTAGATGATCTAGCATTTCTAATGTTCAGCAAACTGCTGAAATAATTCACAATGGTTAATACTATACAGACAAATGAGACATCTAAAATTACCTATTCTTTTAAATGAAAGCTCTTTATACTTTAATTTAAAGCACAGTAGTAAGTTTAATGATTACATAAATATTATCCAAGTACAGGATGATAAAGGTATCAAACTTTTCTCAGGGTGTAACAGAAACCTCACTTTGTTATCAAAAATAGCCTTCCCTGTTGATAATGAATCCTGATAGACTTGGAATTCAAGAAAGACCTGCTAAGTGTCCCAGAAAAGTGCCAATCAGCTAAATCATAGTAAAGACTATAGAACATAACCCTAGCCTAAGCATTATTTAAGTAAACAACACTATATTACTTGCGATTTTTGACAGGTGTTACAAACTTGCTAGATAGAAGCATCATTTATGGCAGAACTTCTGATCCCTCTGGGGAACTAGGCGATTTGAGAATCTTCCTGATACCAAGTCTTCAGTTGCAGTTTAGTTAGAAGACTTGTTTTGGCCACTCAGCTCCAGTTATCTCAGGCAGTAAGTTGACATTATAGCAAAGGACAGAAATGAAGACTATAGTTCCCATGATGCAATATAAAAACACAATTTGTCACTTTTGATGGCAACATTATTGCAAATGGTTTATTAATGTAAGAAATTATCTTGCTTTGCTGTGTGCATAAGTACTGGATCTTGACTTGCCCATTACAGATGTTATAAACTTAAGTATAAGATAGTACCAGACAGTATTTTTTTTAAGTTTTATTTCACTGAGTCAACTAGTAGCTACAGGTATGAGACAAGATACTTTTCCATATTTCCCTATTCTTACCACACAATACATCTGAAAAATATCAGCTTCCACTATTTGTATGCTATATCTCTTCCTTTTTCTTCTTTGTGTGATTCAGGCTCTTAATGTTTGGAAGACTTCACTCATACTTCACTCACTCACACTCTCAATGTTAAAAATTGAAGGTGTCACTCAGGAGTTTTCACTGAATGAGACTAGAAGATTAAGAGCCTGAGGTTTGCTTTTCTTTTGTCTCTTGTTGTCTCATACACAATGCAGAATTTCCTCTGGTATTTATAATACTTCTTGTCTTCACTAATTGCCTGATGGTTATAATCAAAGTCGGTATTTTCCCTCTCATATAGCTATTGGCTCCTCACATAAGCTATTACAGCTATTTTAATGCTTATCTCACTCGATGGATAGGCTAGATCAGCGGTTGTCAACCAGGGGTATGTGTATCCCCAGGGGTACTTAGGAAGGCCCTAGGGGGTATGCACAGGTGGGCGGGCATTGACTGCCACCACCCACCAGCCCATACCACCATCTCCCAGGAGCAGGGCCGGTGGGAGGGCAAGGGCAGTGGCGCCCCTCTGCAGGCCGCACAGGTGCTGCCCAGCTAGATAGATGAGGGGGGGTGTGGGGGGAGCGGGGAAGCTTGCACCGTCGCCACCACCCACCACCCCACTGCCGCCACCCTGCATCCAACCGTGATTCCCCCCACTCCCCTGCTCCGGTCCATGTACAGCCACCGGGGCTACACTTATTAAAAAAGGTTGAAAACCCCTGGGCTGGATGCTTGATGGTAAGATAATAGTGTACTGAATACCCTTCCTGCAGAACCTGATGATATCACCTGTAACTGATCCAAACATCACCAGCTTGAGGAAGGAGTGTCAAAGTTATTCCTAAAGCTTAGTCTTGTACAGGTCGGCTGTTGCCAAGCCATCTGCCAAACCAGCTGTTTCTGAAATATGTAATGCTGTATTTATTTGATTCCAAGATGAGGTTCCCCTGCCCCCATTTAGCATAAGGAAAACATAGCCTCATCTTAGAATCAAATACCAGTGTAGAGGCTGGTACTTGATGGGACAGGATGTGGAGGCACGGGGTGGTGCAGTATCTGGTGGGGAGATGCTCAGCAGGGTGCTACACGGCAGTGAAGGAACTAGTAACAAGGCAAGTGGCAGCAAGGCAAATGGCAGTTGAGGAGGGGGGGGGCAGTCATCAGGGGGTCAAGTAGCAGGGGGAGCAAACATTGGAGGGGGGGGGGGGG